TTTTCAGTTCCTCCGAAGTTTGTGGTTCAGCCACGGGACCAGGACGGGATTTATGGCAAAGCTGTTATTCTCAATTGCTCAGCTGAGGGTTATCCTGTGCCAACCATCGTGTGGAAATTCTCTAAAGGTATGACATTACTTGATTTGCTTCTAAGCTGCCAAACCTATGTTATGTTCTAAAAGATTGGATGAGCATTTTTAGTCTTTCCAGAGATGTTCCTTGCAAGTAGATATATGCCTCTGTCTCCACCAAGCCTATCATTTACTCATAGACACCTTTAGTCACCCACCTAGGTATTTTTATTTAGACCAACAAAGTGTCCTTTCTCACACAACATTTCCTAGGAAGGACCAGGAAGGGGAGGCAGGTTACCCATGCAGGTTACTTCCACACTTGGAAAAGTACTAACTTGCCCACCGTATCAGATAACCACGGTCTGCTTAGAGACCACTGCAAACCTGTATATGTGGAGATGCAAGTTTAATTGTAAGAATTACTTACAGTTGGAGAATTATTTCCCCGGTATTTAGATACATGAGATTAAGTGGTTTTAGAAAGTTAAAAATAAAATCATTGAGTGTTCTGCGTCCTTGGTTACCTTATAATATACAAGTCGAGTGCCATCCCCTTATGCTCTTTTAACAACAGACACACCCAATATCCTATTGTGAGTGTCCAACGTTCCCTGATTCTACTCCTAAGCATGCTTCCTGGCTTTTAGGTAACACTGTAGCCATCGCATACGTAGAAGTGTGTAACATGAAAACTAGTGGTAGAACCATTGTAGACCCTGGAAAAATAATTTATGTTCATCATAGTGGCTTCTTCAGGAAAGTTCCTTATTTGTGCTTGCAAACCTATTGGCGGTTCTCTTTCTTTTCCCATGCAGTCATCTGAAATCAATGATTTATTTATCAAATACTCGAGGGCCAAATATGTACCAGTGAGATCAATCAACCAATCAATCATGGCCTTTTCCTAATAATCTAAGACCTACTATATAGGTTTCTATTTCTCCTCTGGCAAATCTCTTATTCATGTTACTTGCACACTTATCTCTGGTTATGGGACTATTTGTTTTTTTGTTTGCCTACCATAGTTTGTAACCTGTATATATTTTTTAAATAACATGTTGAAGTTTCTCAATTTAAAACCAACAATAAATGGAAAATAAATGACGCACTTACCACAACCCTTCTGGCATCTATTTTTTGAGAAAGAAGGAAAAGAGGGGAGGAAGAGTGTGCTAGACATTGTTTGATCATGAGAACAATTAAATTTTTAAAAAATCCCTGAGGCATCTCTGTATAGCACACCACATCCGTGGTCCACATGAAAAGCACTTTGTTCAAAAATAAAGACCTGTTATTCAGGGTATCTGCCTGCATGACTTTTTATTTTAGGCCATATTTGAAGGCCCATGTTGCATTATTACATGGAAACAGATAAGCAGAATAAGTTTAATTCAGTTTAATTCATTTACATCAATGAGTATATTTGATATTATGGACATTTTCCATGACATTGTTCTTCTCCAAAATTATTTTCAATGCTTGCCATGGTGCAGATGTTCACTCTCTGTGTCTTAAGTTGTGTCCAGTTTTTCATTATGGTGAAAAACAGTGTAGCAAAGAACATCCCTGTATGTTAACTCAACGTGTGCAATTGCTTTCTTGCAAGTTCCTAGAAGGGAAATAGCATGACCACATGTAAGTCTCTCAGTCTGCAATGGCCAAGGACACTTTGGCCACCAGCAGTGTGAGGGTGTGTGATGGCCCTGCATTCTGGCCAGCTAGAGCTTTCTCTTTAGTCTTCACAACCTGATGGGTGAAAATGGCTTACCCCTTTAATTTGCATACTAAAATTACTAATGATTAAAATGTTTTATCTTATGTTTACTGACCATTTCTTTTTCTCCTCTGGGAAATTTCTTATTCATGCTAGCTACTTGCACACTTGTCTCTATGTCTTATTTATTTGTAGCAGTGTTTTCGTGTAGATTAAATAACCCTCAGTCTGTCTGTGTGTCACTGACACTTTATCCCTTCTCATCACTGATTTGCAAATTAAGTTATACTAGCTTTTTTTATCTTTAAATTTCATGTGCTATAAATATATATATATCAAATTGTCGAAGACAAAATTAGAAATTGCAAAAGCAAATTTTTAAAAAGTTAAATTCCCTTCAAATAACAATATTCAAAGATAACCAGAAGATATTAACTCCTGCAAACATGTTTTGTCTAGCCTCTCAGGCCTGTCCCTGCGCAATTGTATTCCCACAGATACACATCTAAATTTAAAAAGGTTTTGATCATATAATTTTTCCTGGCTTATAATCTTCTTTCTTCAGTTAGAAATATGCTATTAATTTCTTTCCATGGCAAAATATATGGATGTTTAATACAACTTTTTAATGTCTGTGTAGAGTTTATACTAATACAACACTAAGTACACTTAACTATCTATTGCCTTAGTTAAGATTGAGTTCAGCCATTTAAATTCACAAGGGTTTATTTTCTCATAAGAGAAGTCAGGACATAGAAAGTGTAGGATTAGTTCATTGGCTCTCTTAAGTCATCAAGCTTCTTATATATTAAGAAGAGTTCTGTTACTTTTAGCAAGAGTATCGCACCTTCGAAAGTTGGCCAGTGAGCTCCAGCAGTGACTGACTTCCACATTTCGACAGAGGAGTTTCCCTCTCCCATCTGAGGGAATTCTACCTGAGTCAGCTCCCTCCACGGGCGTTTCCAGGAATTTGTCACAGATCAGTTCTGCTGACATGTCCCCGGATCACTGCCCAGGTCACCCCTAGCTATAAGGGGGTCTGCAAGCCATCACAAATACAACTTCTGTGACTATTTTACTAAGTCAGAGAGTACCTACATATCTCCAATATTATTGTTGAATGCTTATTTTTTGGTTTTTCTCTAATTTTTCACTCTTAGAAAAGTATCATAATGAATTATATCACATTCGTCTTTGTATATGTGTCTATTTTTCCCTGTGGAGAAATTTCTGTCAGTAGAGCTGCTGGCTCAAAGTGAACAATTTTTATAGCTTTTGATATGCATTGACAGTTTCCCAGAATTTTATTCCTTTACACATCCTCCCACAGTTTTTAGAAGTGCCTGTTTCTTATAACCAAAATAATACTGGATATTATGCTTGTTTTTAAAATATTTTCCAACCCAATAGAGGGATATCATATTATTATTTTAATTATGAAAGGAATAAAGATGTTTCTTAAGGAAAATTTAGTCTTGCTTATGCAACATGTTTCCTGTAATCAACATAGTCACTAAGAGCGTAAATGTAGCTCCCTTAATTATGATGAAAGACTCAAACTAAACAGACTTGGGTTGTTTCACTGAGAGATGCAACAATTTAATCCTGGCACTGCAGAATTCCAGAGTGAATCATAGTAGTTTAAGGTTGGCTATTGCAGAAATGAAGCAATCTTTGCTGAAAAATAATGTTATTACATTTTTGACCTTGAAGCTAGATACACAAAGTCTTAGACATTCAATTCTGTCTCCTGGTTTTTTCTTTCACGTGAACAAATGAAGCCTCTTTATTTAAAAATCAGGCTTTGTACTGTGGTGGGCCTCACCTGCGTTCCCACGCGTAACGACGTTCTTCTACATGTGTGTCATTTACAGTGGAGGGAAACCGGTTTCAGTCAGTGTCCTGAGGACCAGAGCCATGCCTTTGTCAGCTGCTGAGAAGCCAAGAGCGGCTGCGAAGGCCAGAGAGTAGATAATGCGCCAGCTTGCCCTGGTGCCCTTTGCTCTCTATGGTTGTCCACAGATTCCCTGACCTCCAGGGAACTTTGGTCACAGGAAAGTCCAAGGACAGAAGTCAGAGCCTGCCTGGGGTGGGGGTGGGGGTGGGACAGTGGGAGCAGTTTGCATTTAAAATAGCATTGTCAGCTTCCCCAGCAGTAGGTCACCTGTAAGCAGACTTGAAGGACATGAAATGAGCCGCGTGTGTATCCAAGGGGCACGAGCTGAAGGTCAAGGGACCAACTAGCACCCAAGCCAGGGGTAGGGTGGGTTTATGCCTGGAATGGTCCAGAAACACCAAGGAGGACACATGGCTGGGGCAGGGTGAGTGAGAGGAAGCCCCAGAGGTCCTGGATCCTCATCCATCGCTGTAAGAATGGGGCTCTGCCCAGATGGGGGTGTGCATCAGAGTTGTGACGGTGGCACGCTCCCACTGCTGCTGCTGCTGAAACCAGGAGCGAGGGGGCCGTGGAGTAACCCAGGAGAGGTGGCATGATCTGCCTGGAGCTTTATGAGGATCATGGTGGCGCAGCTGTGCTGAAAGCAGACTGTGCGGAGGGCAGGGATTGCAGCTGGAGACCTCTTGGGAGGCCTTGGATGGGATGTGGCTGGGGCCAGGGTGCGGGCAGCAGAGGAGGGATACATGGTTGGATTCTGAACATCCTGGGATGATGGACTGGCTGTGGATGAGAGAGAAAGCAGGGAGCCCCGGGCAATGAGGAGAGTGGAGGTGCTGCTGCCCGAGACGGGGCGACTCCAGGAGGGCAGATCTGAGGCCGGACAAGCTCCGGGGTTTGGGTCCCTCTCTCTGTAGACGCAGCTGCCAATTTCCAGTATAAGTAATGATACATTTCTAAATACCGTATTTTTTTGATAAATACTTTCTCCATCGCCAGACCTGCATTCTGTTCTGCTGCCACGTGCCCAGCCCGCGTGTTCACCGCAGGTCAGTGTTGGGCTAATTTGTGCCCACCGCTCGTCCTTTGGTCTTAGTGCCCCATGAGGGCTATTCCAGGCTCTTCCCTGTTTACAGTGGTTCGTTCCTTTCCTTTTTACACACGATTTCCTGGGAGGGAGCACGGCCCACCTGACTTCCCTGTAGAAGGGAATTAATCTTTCTACTTGTGTGCACCAAAGAGCTGACTTTGAAGTCTGGAAAATTTACAGTCTATATTGTGGTGTCATTAATTTGGGGTCAATTTTCCCACAGATGTGATGTGCCTGTTTAATATGTAGATTCAAGCCGTCTTTTATTCTTTTATTTTTCATGAATTGTGCTTCTAAGCATTTGTTCTCTTGCGTGTTTTCCTTTTCTCCTTCAGGGTTCCATGGACTCATCAC